GCATGGCATAGTCTGCATTTACAGCCTCCAAAAGCTAGGAGTTAAGTTTTTATGAGAAAGTCCCTGAGGTCACATCACTTGCAGGAATCTAGGTCATTTCCACAATTATCAAGGCAAAGGCACTAGAAAAAACAGTCTTGTACTTCCATACAATTAGCCTTCAAATTAGGGAAATTCAGGAATATTGCTCTCCCACTGCAAGCGAAAGAAGGGAATACGATCCTAGTTCTCAAAATAATGTGATGGGAAAAAAAGGATGAACCATACCTACTGCTTCCTAATTGTAAGGAATAAATATTTCATTTGCCACTGAAGCCAGCAGGTGCTGAGCACTTTCTGTTACACTATTATTCCTAACCTATTCCTAGTATCAGATTTATCTGCAAGAGTGCTGGACCTCTTCCATTTTCATCTCAGAAATTCAAATAGTCTTGTGATGAAAGCTCACAGAACAGCTGCATCCCCCCCCCCCCTCCAAAATTTGAAGGATCTGTTTGCATTGGGGAAAAGGCAAATGAGAAAGACAAGCAAAATGAGGAAGATTTCCTATTTTTCTCGATCAGGACTGTAAGGAGACAAAAGTCACAGTACCTCTGCAACATCCTATAAGTTAATTCACAAGTGTGCTTTGGTGGGTGACTGAAAAAAGTGATAGTCTGGCAATCGTCTATCAGGAGATTTATTAAACTTTACCCTCTGATCACAAAACATGCGAAGAATCCACTGCACAGGTATCTATAACATGGGGTTTTACGGAATGTATTTCAACATTATGATGTATTTAAACTTTGTTGTGGTCCACCTCCAGCTGTAAGAAGAGGCGGGTAATACCTAAATAATAACTGTATATAATTATAACATTATTATATTACTATACATATTATTGAATGCCTTTCAATATTATAATGTATTTTAACTATCTTGAGCACAGCCTTTAACCATAAGGAGATACAGGTAAAACAGAAACAATAATGTTATAAGATTATATATATAATTATTATACATAACATAATATTATATTATTATAGATAAGATTACTGAATGTCTTTCAATATTAGGATGTATTTTAACTATATTGTACCCTTTCTCCAGCCGTAAAGAGAGGCAGATAGTACATAAATAATAATAATATAAAAATTCTAGGTAAGATTCTGCAGCACTACAGGCAGTTATGAAATGAGTTGTAAAAATACAGTCTTCCAAAAAGAAAATATTGCCTCTTGTGCTGTAGTTCAAAGACTCTGGCACAAGCCAGTAAAGGCGGTCCCAATGGTGATTGGCACACTGGGGGCAGTGCCTAAAGATCTTGGCCTGCACTTAAAAACAATTGACACTGACAAAATGACCATCTATCAGCTACAAAAGGCCACCCTACTCGGATCTGCACGCATTATTCGCCAATACATAACACATTCCAAGACACTTGGGTAGTGTCCGACGTGTGATCAAATACGAAAGCCAGCATAGTGATCTTACTTGCTGTGTACTAATCTTGTTATGTATCAAATAACATATTATTATTGAATGTATTTCAATATTATGATGTTGTGCCCTGCCTCCAGCCATAAGGAGGTGGGTAATACATTTATATATATATATAAGCATTATTATTAATATATAATGTATGCATTACATAATATTACATTAATATATAATAATTATAAATAAAATATTACTAAATGTTGTAATATATTAATTATATTACATTATGTACAGTATTATTATTTATATATATTACATAATATATTATATTTATAATTATGTTGTGTAAATATATTACCATATATTATATGAAATATATGCAATTATTATAATTATTATTATTTCTGCAAGATGCATTTGAAAAGTTACATTTTGGACTGCACTTCTTGGATTTTTTGTAATCACAAAAAAAAAAAAGGAGCTTGCCTGAGAAAATGGGCGGGGATGCTTCATTTTTCAATGCTACATCCCTGCAAGTTCTTAGGGACCTTTCTCTCTTTTTGTTCCTTTCCTTCCAAATACTGAGTGATACGTCATTTTCCTGCCAATTTAGGAACATATGCAGCCCATGTGAAGGTGTTGAGCGTTTAGCTTCGTTTCGGCTTTCCTACTTCTGAGACTTAGACTGGAGCTGATTTTTTCCAATCTATTTCAACAGAACTCAATATCTTTTTGGGATTATTATTTTTAAAGTATTAATATTATATTACTAGTCATCCCCTGCCATGAATTGCTGTGGCCCAGTCTGTGTATATGTGTGTTTGCATATATATGTGTGGTTTTGCACATGTGTTGTAATGTATGTTTTGTTTCATTTTTTGCTTTTTAAGTCCCTTCTGTGTTTTCCAGTGTTTTTATGAGTGATGATCACCCGTTGGCCTGATATGTGGATTGTATCCAAATTTGGTGTCAATTCGTCCAGTGGTTCCACAAATGAACATTACACTTTTATTTATATAGATACTAGCTGTATCTGCCACACGTTGCTGTGGCAAACATTCCCTCTCTCTTTCTCTCCTTCCTTCCCTCACTTCTCTCCTTCCTTCCCTCCCTCTTTTTGTTTCCCTTCTTCTTTCTTCCTTCTGTTTCTTTTAGTTTTCTTTGCTCTTTGGTTATATCCTTCCTTCCCTCTTTCCTTCCTTCCCTCCCTCCCTCTTTCTCTCTTCAGTTCCTTCTCTCCTTCCCTCTTTCTTTTTTTATTTCCTTCTCTCCTTCCTTCCTTCTCTACCTTTCTTTCCTCCCTTCTCTCCTTCCCTCTTTCGTTCCTTCTCTTTCACTTTTTTATTTCCTTCTCTCCTTTCTTCCTTCTCTACCTTTCTTCCCTTCCTTCTCTCCTTCCTGCCTTCCCCCTTTCTGTGTGTTTTGTATGTGCACATATGTATGTATTTCTGTATATATTTGTGTATATGCGTATATATGTGTGTTTGTATATATATATGTGGTTTTGCACATGCGTTGTAATATATATTTGTTTTTTGGCTTTTTTAGTCCTTTCTGTTGTATTTTTCAGTGTTTTTATGAGTGATGGTCACTCATTGGCCTGATAGGTGTCTTGTGTCCAAATTTGAAGTCAATTCGCCCAGTGGTTTCGGAGTAATAGTAATCCCACAACTAACATTACGTTTTTATTTATATAGACTAACCGTGCCCTGCTAGGGCTTGCTGTGGACCAGTCTGTGTATATGTGTTTTCTGTGTGTATATATTTGTGTATATGTATATATGTGTGTGTTTGTGTATATATATATATATACACAAACACACACGGATTGTGGTTGAGGCTCCTTCTTTGGAAGCTTTTAAACAGAGGCTGGATGGCCATCTGTCAGGGGTGATTTGAATGCAACATTCCTGCTTCTTAGCAGAAAGGGGTTGAACTGGATGGCCCATGAGGTTTCTTCCAACTCTTTGATTCTATATGTGGCTTTGCACATGCGTTGTAATTTTTTTGTTTTTTAAAGCCTCTTCCGTTGTGTTTTTATGAGTGATGGTTACTCGTTGGCCTGAGAGGTGTCTTGTGTCCAAATTTTGTGTCAATTCTCCCAGTGGTTTCTGAGTAATGTTAATCCCACAACTAACATTACATTTTTATTTATATAGACTAGCCGTGCCCTGCCAGGGCTTGCTGTGGACCAGTCTGTGTATATGTGTTTTCTGTGTGTATATGTATGTGTGTGTGTGTTTTTGTATATATATGTGGCTTTGTGTGATTTTGTATATATATGTGGCTTTGCATGCATTGAAATTTTTTTGTCTTTTTAAGTCTATTTCGTTGTGTTTTTAGTGGTTTCATGAGTGATGGTCACTCATTGGCCTGAGAGGTGTCTTGTATCCAAATTATGTGTCAATTCGCCCAGTGGTTTTTGAGTAATGTTAATCCCACAAACAAACATTACATTTTTATTTATATAGATATTATTATTATTATTATTATTATTAATATATGTGTGGTTTTGCGCATGCGTTGTATTTTTTTTGGTCTTTTTAAGCCTCTTTCGTTGTGTTTTTAGTGGTTTCATGAGTGATGGTCACTCATTGGCCTGAGAGGTGTCTTGTGTCCAAATTTGGTGTCAATTCTCCCAGTGGTTTCTGAGTAATGTTAATCCCACAACTAACATTACATTTTTATTTATATAGACTAGCCGTGCCCTGCCAGGGCTTGCTGTGGACCAGTCTGTGTATATATGTGTTTTCTGTGTGTATATATTTGTGTATATTGGACTACTGTAATGCGCTCTACGTGGGGCTGCCCTTGAAAACGACTCGGAAATTTCAACTGGTCCAACAGGGGGCGGCCAGGATGTTAACTGGTGCTCCTTACAGGGAGAGGTCAACCCTTCTGTTCAAGGAGCTCCACTGGCTGCCGTTTATTTTCCGAGCCCAATTCAAGGTGCAGGTGCTTACCTACAAAGCCCTGAACGGTTTGGGACCATCCTACCTGCGTGACCTGTTTTTTGTCTTTTTAAGTCTATTTCGTTGTGTTTTTAGTGGTTTCATGAGTGATGGTCACTCATTGGCCTGAGAGGTGTCTTGTGTCCAAATTATGTGTCAATTCGGCCAGTCGTTTTTGAGTAATGTTAATCCCATAAACGAACCTGATATTTTTATTTATATAGATATTACTATTACTATTATTATATGCCCGCCCTACCCCTCAGGGCCTCCTCCTCCTCCTCCTCCCCACTAGGCCTCCCTCCTTCCATCTCCTAAGAGGAGCCAATGATAGGAAACGCTGGCCTCAATCCAGCCATCCTTCTGAAGGAGTCTCTCACAGGGTCCCTCGGATACAATGGGCTTCAAGGCGAGGGAAAGACGGGGGAGAGGAGGAGGAGGAGGAGGAGCTTCGCGGGCTGTGGAGGGAATCACGCCCCCTTTCTTTCCACTGGGGCTGGAGGGCGAGGGGAGAAGGAAGAAAGGGAGGCCTTCCAGCCTCGCGCAAACGCCCCTCCCCAAGGCCTCACTGCCACACAGCGCTTCGTTGCGGCCTAGTAAACAGCCTAGTAAACAGCCTCGACTCACCCTTGGCGAGGGCGACGGTGGAGTTGTCGGTGTCGATGGTGTAGAGAATGCCCTCGTAGCGGATCTGCGCCTTGGAGATGAGGCTGATTTTGCTCCCGATGTACGGAGTGCCCGAACTCATGGCGCCGCCGGAGAAGGAACCAGAGGCGTCACAACCGGACAAGGCCCAGAGACCACAAATCGAGCGGCGCTCCTCTCCCTCCCACTCGCAGCCACCCGCGTCTACTGCGGACTGAGAAAGGAAACCCCGCCGGCGGCTCCTTTTATACGCCACGGGCAGGCGACGGCGGGCGGGGAGGAGAAAAATAGACAGAGCGAAAAAGAACGCGAGAAAGAGAGAGAGAAAGGGCGGTGTTGCGCATGCGCAGTCGGCTCTGCGCGAGCCAGACGGCTGGCTGGATAGGGAAGTGGGGAAGAGTATTGGGAAGGAAGGTCAGGTTGAGGGAAAGGGAGGGGGGAGGAGGACACAGAGAGGGGCGGGGCTTCCGCGGAGGAGGAGGAGTCACGTGACGCTGGCTCAGCTGCTGCCACTCAAAACAGCAAAACAAATTATAAAATGGAAATAACCTTCCCTGATTAAAGGAAATCTGCTTCTGCGGCACACAAAGTGCAGGCTTTGAAATAAGAGTAATATTTATGTCATATATATATATATGTATATATATTACTTTGATTTTTTAACAGTTATTATTTATATTAGTTTGGTTCTTTAATAGTTATTATTATTTATATTATTTAAATCATATTATTTACTTATGTATAATAATATTTTTAACAATTATTATTATATTAGTTTAGTTCTTTAATCGTTATTATTATTTATATTATTCATATCATTATTATTTATAATAATATTATGTCATATATATATATATGAATTTGATTTATTAACAGTTATTATTTATATTAGTTTGGTTCTTTAATAGTTATTTATATTATTTATATCATTATTTATTATTTATAATATTATTATGTCATATATATATATATGAATTTGATTTATTAACACTTAGTATTTATACTAGTTTGGTTCTTTAATAGTTATTATTATTTATATTATTTGTATCATATTATTTATTATTATGTATATTAATATTTTTAACAATTATATTAGTTTAGTTCTTTAATAGTTATTATTTATATGATTTATATCATTATTTATTATTTATAATATTATTATGTCATATATATATATATATATGATTTTTTAACAGTTATTATTATTTATATTAGTTTTGTTTTTTAATAGTTATTATTATTTATATTATTTATATCATATTATTTATTCTGTATAATAATATTTTTAACAATTATTATTATATTAGTTTAGTTCTTTAATAGTTATTATTTATATTATTTATATCATTATTTATTATTTATAATAATATTATTACATCATATATATATATATATAACTTTGAATTTTTTAACAGTTATTATTTATATTAGTTTGGTTCTTTAATAGTTATTATTATTTATATTATTTATATCATATTATTTATTATGTATAATAATATTTTAACAACTATTATGTTACCTTAGTTCTTTAATAGTTATTATTATTTATATTATTTATATCATTATTTGTAATAATATTATTACGTCATACATATATATATATATATATATATATATATATATATAACTTTGATTTTTTAACAGTTATTATTATTTATGTTAGTTTAGTTCTTTAATAGTTATTATTTATATTATTTATATCATATTATTTACTTATAATTTATAATAGTATTAACTCATATATATATGAATTTTATTTATTAACGGTTATTAGTATTTATACTAGTTTGATTCTTTAATAGTTATTATTATTTATATTATTTATATCATATTATTTTCTTATTTATAATAGTATTATCATATATATATATGAATTTTATTTATTAACAGGTAATAGTTTTTATATTAGTTTGGTTCTTTAATAGTTATTATTTATATTATATTATTTATAATAATAGATTATTATTATTATGTCCCTGGTGGCTCAGCAGGTTAAATCACAGAGCTCCTGAACTTGCATCTTCTCCCACAGTGAGAGCATTGGTTTCCAGGTGGAATGCGGTCCCAGTCGGGGTTGGCTTGATGCACCTTCTTCTTGGCACATTTCTCTCTTTCGCCCTCCATTTATGCCTCTTCAAATTCTACAGCACTGCTGGTCACAGCTGACCTCCAGCTCGAGCGCTCAAGGGCCAGGGCTTCCCAGTTCTCAGTGTCTATGCCAGAGTTTTTAAGGTTGGCTTTGAGCCCATCTTTAAATCTCTTTTCCTGTCCACCAACATTCCGTTTTCTGTTCTTGAGTTCGGAGTAGAGCAACTGCTTTGGGAGACAGTGGTCAGGCATCCGGACAACGTGGCCGGTCCAGCAAAGTTGATGGCTGAGGACCATCGCTTCAGTGATGGTGGTCTTTGCTTCTTCCAGCACACTGACATTTGTCTGCTTGTCTTCACAAGAGATTAGCAGGATTTTCCGGAGGCAACACTGATGGAATCATTCTAGGAGTTGCATGTGATATCTGTAGATAGTCCACGTCTCACAGGCGTATAGCAGGGTTGGGAGGACAATAGCTTTATAAACAAGCACCTTGATTTCCCTACGGATGTCCTGGTCATCAAACACTTTCTGCTTCATTCAGAAGAAAAGCTGCACTCGCAAAGGTCAGGCAGTGTTGCATTTCGGTGTCGATGTTGACTTTGGTGGAGATGTGGCTGCCAAGGTAGCAGAAATGGTCAACATTTTCTAATGTTACACCATAAAGCTGTATTTCTGGCATTGCAGCGGTATTGGCTGGTGACTGCTGGAAGAACACTTTGGTTTTCTCGCTGTTCAATGACAGGCCGAGCTTCTCGTATGCTTCTGCAAAGGTGTTTAGAGTGGCTTGTAGATCTTCAGAATGCGCACAGACAACGTTGTCATCAGTATACTGGAGTTCTATAATAGATGTTGTTGTAACCTTGGTTTTGGCTTTCAGTCTGCTGAGATTGAATAGCTTGCCATCAGTCTGATACATGATTTCCACTCCGGTGGGAAGTTTCCTGTCAACAAGATGAAGTATCAGAGTGATGAAGATGGAAAATAAAGTTGGGGCAATAACACATCCCTGTTTTGACACCCGATTCTACTTTAAATGGGTCACTTTGGGAGCCATTGCCGTCCAAGTCTGTTGGAGCATGCAAGGAATCAGTGAGTGTGCATGTGTGTGTGTGTGTGTCAACTGTAAAATAAGATACATGAAGCTGTTTGTCAGGCCACGCCTGGGGAGGATACTGCTACATTTTTCAGTCTTGAAATATTGCAGGTGCTTGCAGAGGGAAGCAGAGAGAGTTTGGAGCGTGCTCTCGCTTCATGAGCTACTGGAGGAGTTTATCTACATGGACAATGAAATACTTATTTTAAATCTCTCATAAAAAGACATTATGTGAGTTGATGCAACTGATCACATTGTACATATGTTGTTCAGAACTAAGAAGAGTAAACTACTTGTTTTTTACTGTTCGTCTGCATAGCATATTTTCTTTCTCTGGCAAGACAGTGTGTGGGCAGATGAAATGTGAAGTACACGTGGTTTATTTTACATTACGCCACAAACCTCCCCAGCAGCGTTCCCCTTATCCTTCCCTAAATGCCTGCTGCCAGAGGAAGGTCTTGCCCTGTTTGCAGAAAGCCAGAATTTTAAAAATGAAGGGAACCTAACAAATGGGGGTGAATGTTCAGTTTAAACTCTGACAGTATTTTAAGCTGGATTATGAAGGGTATATGTACCAAGTTTGGTCCAGATCCATCCAGCCATGTAGGTTTTGCTGAACAGAGATATATATATATATAGAGAGAGAGAGAGAGAGAGAGAGAGTTGTTCAGTCGTTTCCGACTCTTCGTGGCTTCATGGACCAGCCCACGCCAGAGCTCCCTGTTGGCCGTCACCACCCCCAGCTCCTTCAAGGTCAGTCCAGTCACTTCAAGGATACCATCCATCCATCTTGCCCTTGGTCGGCCCCTCTTCCTTTTTCCTTCCATTTTCCCCAGCATCATTGTCTTCTCTAAGCTTTCATTTCTTCTCATGATGTGGCCAAAGTACTTCATCTTGGCCTCTACTATATATAGATGTGTGTATATATGTGTGTATATATATGTGTATGTATATATTAAAAACAATATTAAATATTAATTATATGTGTGTTGTAGATACATTTCTAAGTTGCCAACATGAAAATTAAGTCAAGATTTTGAGTATCCATAATTRGTGGTCATTTTATCTAATAATAARAARAARAARAARAACAACACTTTATTTGTACCCTYCTARCATCTCCCCAAGGGACTRGGTYCGGCTTACATGAGGCCGAACCCAATACAACAATACAAGCAATAATAACAACAATACAAGCAATTAAAAATAAAAACATAGACAATAAAATATGCAACAATTAACAATAAGACAACACACAATTAAAACTGTGGGAAGGCCAAATGTAAAGTTAAAATTGGAAGTAATGCRGGGGCATGGGCGAAAAGGTGAAAGTGGCGTTTGTGGAAAACATACAAGCAGACCTAAAATGTAAAGTGCTTTGGAGGACAAAGTGCTATGGGATCATTATTCTGGGAAGGCACATTGGAACATCTTCAAACTCCTCCTAAAGACTGCCAGAGTTGGGGCCTGCCTGATGTCCTTAGGAAWTGAGTTCCAGAGTCGAGGGGCCACCACCGAAAAGGCCCTCTCTCTCGTCCCCATCGCACCAACTTTTTCTGGTCTTTCTGCAGCCAAAGCAAAAGGAGCTGCTTTGTGTTACATAATCATTGAAATTACTCAGAAAAAAACGTGACCAGTTCTTCAAGAGAGTTCCCATTTCTTTATGTCATCAAGGTTTCCAGAAATCTCTGGAGTATCGATGCAAGGGACAGGTTAGATTGTAATGCATAACAACAACAACAACGACAGCAACAACTTTTGTTGCTACATATAAAATATGAGATATTTTTGTCATTTTTGTCTAGAATGTACTGTACTTTTAAAGCTCTTTCTTGTGGCCTTTGCTAGCACAATACATTAGTTGCTTAAGATGGAAAAACAGTGGTAGAAAGCATGCTGCCCTCCAGATGTTTTGGACCATAATTTCCAGCACTCCTCACTTTGATAAAGCAGCTACTGGGGCTTCCCTCTGGACTGCAGCATCATTCCCATCCATGGAGCAAAGAAACCTGGAATTAATTTCCATTTTCCAAATGTATTTGCTTGGAAGGAGGCATTGTTATGCTTAGAACAAACCCACCATAATCAACAGAGCTTGTTAGTTTTGACTAACTCGTCTCATTGATTTAATGAGCCCACTCCAAGCAGAACTAAATCTGGATCCAACTATTTCGGTATACTTTACAATAGATGCTGAGTCAGCTCCTCG